TGACACTGTCCTTTGTCTGTGAGATTTGCGTTGTAATATCATTTCGTTATCAGCTCATGAAGGAAAGAACAGCTGTCTGCGTAACATTTCACTGCACTGGGTATGTTCCCTGTATTGCAAGTCTGATGCTTTGCACACTTGTTAGTTCGCTTTAGTACTCTGAAGAAGGGAAGTTTCTTGGTCGGAAGATTATAGTAAATTGATCAGATACTGTTGGCCGGAGCTTTACTGTGATAGAAACAGTTTTTTTCGGCGTGGAGTGGAAAGAAGGCACTTGTGAAACCAGAAGTTTTTATTAAGGAGGTCGAAGAGTGATGTATTAGTTTTTTTGAAAGCGAAGGGCCCCAGGGATTTACTTTTTGACCTTTTTACGGTGTTAGACTGACTCCCATGTAATGCATTAGTTCTTTGAGAAAGCACGTAAATTTGGGAGTTGTAACACTGTCCACAGAATGCATGCGATACATCGCAGTGTTTTTGAGTATTCCGCCCAACTAATTGGTACTTATGTGGTTTCTGTGTGCAGAAGCTTTTGGGGAACTGGAAAATATCATGGGTTGAATTCTTTAGTGAAGGTGTCATGAGGCCTTTTTATTTCTGAGAGAGCCTGTTTCACTTGGTCGAACAGGTTAAATACAGGAGAAGGCACTATCATCAGATGTGTCACAGTGCTGTAAAAGATTGGTGCTGTCAACACTGCTGTTGGGTTATATGAGTCAGTGGTTTACTGCCGTCGCTTTTTGCGATGGTGGCACGTTTAGTGTAGTCTCGTTTTTTTGGTAAAATTTGTTGTTTTCATGTTCCTTTCAGATGAGCAAGAGGCAAAATCCAAGTGAATTTTTGAAGCAAATCATAGGCAAACCAGTGGTAGTAAAGCTCAATTCAGGCGTTGATTACAGAGGTAACCGTTTTTTGTTTTAAACGAACTCGAGCTCTAGTGAATGCATTTGTCTTTTTTTACATAAGAAATGCACATGAAGAAGATGCTGTCATTGGTGTTACATCCCAGCTTCCGAACCCTTTTGAGTGACTGTTCCACTTTAGATTTTTGGGTTTTATTTCCCTACTACTTTTTGGTCTCCACTTAGCTTCACATGCTTTTTTTTGGAGTTATTCTTAGATTTGGTAGGACTTGAATTTGCTCAAATTTGCAGGTGCAAAGATAAATTTTTGCTGATGCAAGTAACTTATTACTTCAAAGTGTACTCTGCTATCTTCTTTCAATATTCGGTATAAGGTGTGTTGTTATTTCAGTATAATTTCCCACGTGCCAATTTAGGCATACTCTCCTGTCTTGACGGTTTTATGAATATCGCTTTGGAACAAACTGAGGAGTATTCCAACGGCCAACTGAAAAACAAATATGGTGATGCATTTATTCGAGGGAACAACGGTGCTAGATGACGTTATTTAAACTTATTTTTCCAAGATTGTTACATTTCACTCTAACCTTCACTGGTTAGGGGATCTAGTTTTCATAGTTGAAATGGCAGTGTAAACAGGAAAAGACCACATATTTTTTCAGTGGTATTTTTGAACCAAGCTGAGCTCAGAATGCAGGAAGAGTGTTTCTGTTAGTTATTAAGTCGTAAAGTATTTTAAAGATGTATTTTTCCAGCGTTTGAATTGGAGTTAAGAACCTAATTATAAATAATTTACAGTTTTGTACATCAGTACGCAAAAGAGGTAACAGAAGAACACCAATGTGTGTTGGATTTGGCGCCAACAAACTTCACCTACTCATACACATGATCTCCAATCGTAAGGACATCCTAGCACAAGGTTTGCTGTGCTCAGAAAACAAGTCTTGACGTTCCAGAATCATGACCTTCAAAGTCATCAGCCTTCTTCGTACATGTAATATTTATGATGACAAAATAAATACTTGTTAATGTGGCTGAAGGACCGCGCACCATTTAGAAATGAAGCATGACAAGCCCATCAGATTCATTTTAAATTTGGCAGGATCCATAATAGTGATTAAATTCTTCATTCTTTTTACTCCCGCGTTTTTTCATTGTACCAACTCATCTTTTTTTCCAAAGTGGTTATTAGTTGTTACTACATGTATGAGGGATTTCTACAGAATTTTTCTACAGGCCGGGGAAAATGCTTTGGTTCTCACTGAGAAATTTGAAATACTTTGTACCAGGATGCCTGGTAGCAAAGTGGAATGGCTAGTAGGACCGACAGACTACTTGTTTAGAGTGGAGAGCAGTGTCAATGGAGACAACTGAAGGCGTAAGGAAATATTGAGATTTAAGCGGTTGATGAAATAAATTTTATCCAAAAATGTTAAGTCACAGATTGTTTCCATAAAGCCCATCTAGAAGAAAGCAGTGGAAGACAGCTTCCTGGTTGCCATTAACGATGCGCAGCTGTCTGTATATGCTTTTTTTTTCGCTTTTGTATTTAACCGCTGCAAAGTAGAAATCAAGAATATTCACTGAGCATGCAATTGTTTACTTAGAGTGGAAAATGTCAAACCGACAGTTGGAAAAAAAAAGTTATAAATTGACTGGAGTTCAGGAAGCCGATTAATTGTAAAAAGCTGTCTTTACTAAAACGTCAAGAACAACTAGGTACGGGGAGCAACAAAAGACAACTCAAATCCATCTGTCTTAATACTTATCTGGCTGCATATTATCAGTCATCCTATGCAGTTTTTAGAAACTTTTAGGTTTTATCGACCGCAGCAGCATGATTTTTGATGGCAAAATTGTTTATTTGTATAAAAGGTTAAAAAACAATTTTTAAGCCTACTTGTCTTCCTCGTGCGCTAGTAGGGATTTCTGTGGACAAAGTTCAGCTTAAAAAACAAGTCCCAACTAAACTACTGCCGCTTTTTCCAAAATAGCTTCTTAAGATCAACCTTTCTTCACGCAGTTCTAGTGTTTTAATTTACAACTGTCACTTCATATCTAGTGCGATCAGTTGTATAAGCGGAGCTTAAGACAAATTTCGACGAGCAGTTTTTTTTTTTGTTCACAACATTTCCCTGCACTCTTTTTTGCTCTCACTAGGAGCCGTCACACGCCCGCTGCGAATGTGGCAAAGCGATACAGCATATTTCCTCGCCGCCGGTTACGTGAACCCACTTAAACCTACATCCGCTGTTTCGCCGTTAATGGCCTCACAGAATGACATTGCTGTGAGGTGCGCAACCTACCTTAATTATAATTTCAAACCAGTCCGGCCGACTTCCAACCTTGGCACCCACAACGGCTTTGAAAAGCATCAAATATCCTGCTTCAAAGGCATGAAGTTTTCACGTGCAAAATTTCGATCGAGTTTTACCGAATGAATTGTGTATAAAAGACCATTCCAGTTGGAAAATAACATGTTATATTCGTCCCTTGAATTTAAAAGTTTTTGACAAGATAATAGATAAGTGTCTGACGGAGTGTTGTATTACTCTTCGCTGCGTCATAGTAGTTTTTGCAAAAGGCAAAATTAAGATTTAAATTTCAGTTGGGGGTTTTGTATACTAATTAAGTTTCTCCGAATTATAACTACCTTGAGAAATGAGAGTGGCGATCACAAAAACAAAACAGCCTTCGAAGTCCACAGAGCCTAGTTTGGGAGATTAAAAATGAACCTAGAGAAATTTCTCTAGGAAATCTTTGTTATCGAATGCGCCCCGTAGCTATCAAAACATATGGACCGCATTTCATCGTCGCATGACAGCAATTCAGTAATGCAGCAGTTCTTTCGGTGACATAATGTCTACTTTGACTCTTAATGGAGTAATAGAAGAATGGTGAATAGAATCAACGGGCAAGAAAACCACTATCAGAGGTACCTCGCCGACGACATAACTAGAGTAAAAGAGCTAGGTGTAGCTCGGCTTCCGTTATCCCACTACCAGCAGAATGCAAATATTTTGAGGTGGTTCAGGGGTCGAATTATTGCCACAACTTATTCAGACACAACTTCAGAGGTTTTGGGGCATCGATTTGAACGTAATAACGTGTTTAAATAACATTCAACAAGTTTATCTCGCGCTTTCAAAAAACCTTTTTTCTGGTAAGACCTATAATCTTTACGAAGAGGTACTGGTAAGCTGATATCAACACTACCATTACATTGAAGAAAAGATGTATGCCGGAAACTTTAAAGCTCCTAACTCAAAATCATTTGAGAAGTCATCAGATGGAATATTTTGAGCAGAAGAAAATGAAAGCCGCAATGACTTCACCTCCAAGAATGGGGAATGAAGGCACACTGACAAAAAATTTAATTTTTTTACGTAATTTCAAACTAATGCCACACCACCAGCAACGAACAGTGCATTTACCAGACCACTCAGAGGAATGTATGATACTAAAGCCACGACTTGAGAGCAGAAAATGCCAAAAATCAAGTCCAGTCTTAAAAAAACTTTCAACTCATAACTTGAGCCAAAAAGCTCACAACTCCGCAACGCCAGTGGTACCATAAAACTTCACGTTTTTCTGGCTCCCTCACTCAACACCGATTCATCTGTAGATAGACAGAGTGAATATATGGAAGTCTCTGAACTAGTCTAAGCTGGATACAAAAAAAAACTCTAAGGCCCATAAACCACGTTATAACGTCACAAGAAACACCCTCATTCATCACCAAAGACAGAACATAAGGATGTAGACCACATCGGACATAAGATGCACAAATAAGTACAAAGGAATATGAGAAACTTAGAGTCCCCGGCCTCTCAAAATTAACTCTTCTACAGAATCTAACATACGACTCAACGCGGAAACAAAAACGTAGCCTACCCAAATATTTTGCGTCATGAACTGCAGAAGTGGAAAAAGCTAAAAAACTTTTGCTTTAGAACGATAGCGACTGAACGTGCAGACTCGCATACCATGGCAAATCCAAAGTTCCCCAACCCACACAGCTCAGGCGGATCTTCTTGACAGCCTTATGTCAATAATAAAACTTTAATGTTCAAAAACAAAACTTGGATTATGCGTTGCTGACTATTACTCTTCTCCCAATCGGCTGCTTTAACTACTAACGTTTGTCTCCTGTTTTCCAGACGAAAGCAGTAAAGGAGATACCGTGTAAGTGGGGCCGCAACTTCACAAGTGAGCGAGCAAAAAAAAAATTAGTGGATTATTCGTTCATTTATGCCATCTTTAATACAGACAGAAAAGAATGGAATTATGCCTTCATGGCTTTTTCCTAGTCTCCTAAACAGGATAAGATTTCTCCAGCTGAAAATGTCAACAAAGAACAAATTTATGCTACCTATAAGAGAAGAAATCTCTGGAAAAACAGCAGCTTCCTTTCAGGCAGAAAATTGTATAAGACGACCCTTGGTTAATATGATAAGGAAGAATAAGTTTGAGAAAAAATCTAAGGCGCAACAATAAGGAAAATTTTGTACCAAACCCGTTTTCTTCAAGATCAATTCAAATAAATAACACATGGCTCAAGGTTACATCAAGTTACTATAAATATTACACAACGCACCTTATTACAGAAAAACAAGAAATTAAAAAAAGTTCTTTGTCCAAAACTCAACAAATAAAATTGGCACTCCAAAGCTTACCCTTATTTTTAGTTAATTTAAAAGCAACTTGCAGCAAAAATTTACAATCCGGAAAAAAATGAGGAATACCAAGAATAAAGCCCTCCTCCCCAAACCGAAAATACAGTTCAAATATTTAAACTAAATTTCAGCCAGAAAAAACAGTTATGCACAACAACTGCGAGCAGTATCACAAACAGAAGCCTATTGCAGTGTCGCTACAAGTCATTAGCTTGAGGGCACAGATGATAACTTCGTGCAGACCGTAGCTCCAAATACTTCCTTACTTCAGAAACGACAAAAACCAGCGATGTAAGCGTAGTGAGAAACAACAAATCTAAAGTCTTTGCCATCAGAAAGCCGGGAGTTTCCACACACACACACACAAAAAAA